ACATACACACAATAAATAAATAAAAAATTCAAATTAAGTGTATCATTTTTATGCTTCATTTAGATTCCAGTTATAAAAGTTATGTCTTATGTTAGTAACGATACTTTGTCATATTGGATCTTTAGGAAACAGATGTGGTACCAGACACCAGGCTTTTGGACAAATTTAGTCAGATTAGTCCTCAGCTCTTTACCCCATTGGATGGGGCCCCCCAGAGTCCACCACTGGAGAGTTTGTACATCATGGATTTCTTTATTGCACTGGCCATCTGCAACACAGTGGTGGTTTCCGCTCCTAACCAACCTCGACAAAAGGTAAACTCTTTTCTCCACAGAGGACAACTTTGAGTTTACATGTGTCTGTATCAGTCTTGTTGTGTGATGATAATAGCAGCAAAATAATAATAGCAGCAAAAATAGCAGGTACATTACATTTACTCAGAACTTGTCCTTGGCTCTGTATTTACCATGGTCTAGATGATTTACTGGTTTTAACCTGTTTAGTCATCTCCAGAGCACCATGAGCTAGGCACTCTTATTCTGCTATCCCTCATTTTATAGATGCCTTTGAGAGATTTAACTGAGGTCACAAAACCAGTTTGTGGGGAGGTAGGATTTGAGCTAGGAAGTATGACTCAGCTTGCTATGCAGTTTGCCTGGAACAGCAGAGCTGATGGGAACTTTCATTTTACCTTCACTGCCTTTCCAAGATGACACTGTCATTGAGACTTCTGAGATCGACATCCTATGATTGACATCAAACAGAATCTAAAGTATTAGAGTAATTATTCTAACTATGATGAACTTTCTTCATGTCCAGCTACATTTGTTTTAACTCAATGTGTCTAAAATTTAATCTATGTATACGAAGTGTCAAGATTCTGCAGTTCCTTTAAAAAGCTGGATACTTGCTCTGGTTTTAGCTTAGAATTCAGGGAAAACTCATTTCAGTTAAGGAGAAAAAGTTATTGTAGAGGACGGTGAGCTATTATGTGGCTGTGCTAACCTCTTGATATCTAACTGTCCTTTCCCACACAGCCACTTAAAATTCAATTTACAATGAAATCCAATTAAATTTTAATTTTCCATCAGACCATTTTCTTTTGGCAACTTCAGAGGTGGTCAACTTTAACATAAAAGTAATTTACTTGCAATTAAGCTGCACCTGATCAGAGGCTGTATTTTACAAGGCGTTGCCTAGAAAAATGCTCTTGAAAAAGTGATTGTGTGGTTAGAGAATAAATCACAGGTTCTAAAACAATTTCTTCTATATAATATTTTTCTCATATACCTGTTTCTAAAGTTGGACTCTTTTGGTGCTTTCTGTTTACAAAATATTGTTGCCTTATTCCTAAAGAACATAACAGTTTACAACTTGGAAGAAAACCTTTGTGCGCATAAAGAACCACCGCTTCGTGATATCTTAAAACCGATGTTTCTCTTAATGTCTTACTACCCTTTTATTATTTCTGATAATAATTTTTTTCATGATAAATTGGTTTAAAAATTTTTTTTTAAATGGTGGAAAGCCAGTGAACAGCAACTTTCCTCAGAATACAGAGCCCTCACCAGTGGCCAGGTCACATGTTTTCTTTTATGTCTGAGCTGCTGACAACGTCAAAAATTGAACAGTATGAGTCCTTCAAATTATCATAAAGTTAGTAATTTTCAGAAGAAAACTTTAAAATTTTTCACCTAGTTCTGAATGAGAAAATTTTAGAAGCCAGTTAAATGATCTTCCATGATTGGTATTAAAGTATAAGTTTAATTGCTGACGTAAAAACATTTAAAGAAAAGAAAGTACAAATTCTGTAATAGTAAAGAGTCAAATTCATGAGGAGATGCTGGTAACTCCTCCTTCTCAATCTACTTATTTACTGACGTGTTTTGTTTTGAATGTCGAGGTGACAACTTTTTATAGATTCTGAGAAGTAAAAGAAAAATATATAGTTTGTTAACCTTTTGGTTGGTTTCTTCTCAAAACTAGGCGTGTTAACACTTTCACTTTTCTTCCCAGTAGGCGTCTTAACACTTTCACTTTTCTTCCCAGTAGGCCTTCAGGGTCTTGCTCAGCTGCTTTCAGCTGTGTGTAGGTGAACCCTTCTTGCATTCTCTTTCCTAGATTGGGTTCTCTTCACTGAGTGGAATGCCCATTAAATCCTTGGAAGAGATTAAAAACCTCTTCCAGAAATTGTCTGTCCGAAGATCAAGTTCACCGTCCCTTGCCGGTGGGAAAGAGCCAACTTCTGGGGTTCCCTGTGCCCTTGTGAGCAGACTCTCTCTCTTTAATCGAATGAAGCTGGCTTCTCCTATGGAGGAAGAGTCTTCCCAAGTAACTGAGAGTCCCCAAGCTGGTAACACAGCATGCTGTACAGAAATTGAGGAACCGAACCATGGTGCAGGAGTCACGGTTGACACAGGAGAAGCCCTGGACAGACAGCCCCTGGCTTCCAACCTGTGTTATGAGGCAGAGAGCCCAGACGAAGCAGCCTTAGTGTATGCCGCCAGGGCTTACCAATGCACTTTACAGGCTCGAACCCCAGAGCAGGTCATGGTGGACTTCGCTGCTTTGGGATCATTAACATTTCAACTCCTACACATTCTACCCTTCGACTCAGTAAGGAAAAGAATGTCTGTTGTGGTCCGGCACCCTCTTTCCAAACAAGTCGTGGTATATACAAAGGGTGCTGATTCTGCCATCATGGAGCTGCTGTCAGCGGCCCCAGGTAGGTTTATACAGAGCTGCCATGGCCATGCGTAGGATTGGTAAGAAGGGCTGGGGAATCTAGGGACCACTTCTGGTGCTCTGATAAAGGCTGTGAAGTCACTCTTGAAAAGTCTAGAATTTGGTGGGGAGGCAAATCAGTTGGGGAGCTGCAGAGACCTGAGTTCAGATCTTTAGTTGAGCTAAGTCTGTAGTTGAGCTGAATCTTTGGTTGAGCCTGATAGAATAACTATTTGGTGCCTGTGTCTTCAGGAAAATGGCTATTATAATACCTTTTTTATAGGTTCCTGAGAGGCTAGTGTCACTCTGTGTGAAATACAGGAGGAGCCAAGTGTTTAACAAGGGACAGTTGCCCAGGGGAGGGCAGGAAGCACTGACTCTCATCATGTCACTGTTACTATGGATAGTGCAGGGGCAGTGTTTGTATCAAATCCTTGGTACTTCCTCTGCCCAAGGCAGGGAGGGAATCAAGGGAAAGACTTATGCTGGGGTGTTCCTTTCATAGGTACACATTTTAGATTAAAAGCTAGAGTGTCTTTTGTTATGAACTTAACTGTCAGTTTTCAAAAACATATGCTTAATTGGGCAGACTGGTAGGAATAATGGTGCTCTGTTCATGATTTCAGATGGAACAAATCTGGAAAAACAGCAGATGAGAATAAGGGAGAAAACGCAGAGTCACCTGGACGAGTATGCCAAGCGAGGCTTGCGCACGTTATGCATAGCGAAGAAGGTGAGACTGCCGAGTGTGCCCCGCTTTTGGTACCTCCTCCGGTTTAGTCACCATTACTGAAAACAAGCATGTACCTGTCAGACCCCAATCCAGGTACCCCATGGGATTCCTTAGACTGGGTCCGTTTTCATAGCCCCTCCATTCTATGTATTACTGGGATAGATTTTTGTTTCCAAAGTGTTTTGCTGGGTGCCTAAACATTATATTTTCAGAATTCTCTCAGGTTTTAGTCCAAATGTCCTTTGTAAACAGTTGCTTCTCTACAAATAAAAATCCCTGAATATTATTTTCCTTCCCTGAGAACCATGTGCATTTTGTTCCCTCTGTTTTATAATAATGAATGTGATTTGGAAAGAATGAGCCAGAGATCGGCCTTCATTTTTTCTCTTGCAAGGTCTTGGTAATTTATTTATCCTTTCTTATCTGCCCATAAGTTGGTCTTTAAACCCAGGTAAATTTGCTAGATTTTTATCTCAGCTTTGATTCTTTGTTTCTGAAAACATTCTTGAGACAGAGTGTGTACTTTCTAAATAAAAAGCTAAATTATGAGAAAGAAGCAGAGCTCCAAAAAGTGATTTGAAGAATACTATTACCCAAACCTCTCATTGACTACCCAGGTTTGAGGTCTTATTTGTTGCATGAGGGAAAGTGGGATTGGATCTGTTGAGGATCCCAATGAACCCAGTCAACCAACTCTAACCAAATGCATGTCTGATACACAGTCATTGAAAGAATGGGGGAATTCAAGGTCAAACCAAGTCTACCTTCTCAATGGAATGTATCCCAATAAATGTCATATTTTTCCAAGTCAAATTATGTTGTAGACAAGGATGAGTATGTAAGAGAGAAGTTGCCTCACTGCCCCCCCCTTCTACCCTGCTTTGTATTATCTGAAACCCCAAGTTGTCCTTCATGGTAAAGAAAGACAGCAGATGTATTATTGGGTCCTTCTCCAAGAGGCCTATTTATTTCTTTGTTGGAAATAAAACCTTGCCTCATCCACAGGGCTCTTCCTTACTTTTTCTGACAATTAGCCATTTGAACAAACCTTCAGACGACATCAGGTGTTCTGTTGGCTATAGAATCTCTCATATGAACAAGCCTGAGGACATTTTCTCAGCTGCACTGTTAGAATCACCCTGAATTTAGCCACCAACAGGAGTCTTGTTCCAACTACATGTGCGCTGATATAATTAAATAAGTTAACCACTGTCACCATGGACAGTGCTTAACAGTTCCCAGAAATACTAAGTGGTTGGGTCCCTCCACCATCAGCATCACACTCACTCAAATCAGTTTGGGAAGCTTGTGTCCAGGTGGTGAAGGGATATAGGCCCAGCATGACTTTGCCCAGAGGGAGGAATTCCTAAACCAAGTTGATGGTTTGAGGCCATGGAATTTTGCCCCAGGTCAGTCTGTAGAACTTTATAAGGTCGCATGGACTGCCTCCCAGCCTTTCTTCTCCTCTCTTAGGTCATGAGTGACACTGAATATGCAGACTGGCTGAGGAACCACTTTTTAGCTGAAACCAGCATTGACAACAGGGAAGAACTGCTAGTGGAATCTGCCATGAGACTAGAGAACAAACTGACATTACTTGGTAGGTAAATAATGCTGTTATTGCCGTGGATCTAATAAACATACTTGGTCCTTTCTCTCCTGTCGAACTTTACCTCTTCACAAATTGTGGTCCATTCCTGTCTATGTTCCACTTCAGTGAACTCAAGACCTCATTTGTGATGGAAGCAGCATGGATCTGCCCAGTAAGGTGTAAAACTGCTGCACTCCATGTAGAGTACAAAGCCAACTGAGCATACTGGTTCAAGGGCAGCAAACTAAAGTGCCTTGCAAAGAATTGTATGACATCCTAAACATGTGTTATCTTCTTAAATCTTTACAACAAATATCCATCTTAGTTAGAAGAAATAGAGCATAGAGCAGTTCAATGACTTGTTCAAGGTCATGTGCACATATACTAACTGAGAAGCCAGAAAAAACTCTCCTAACTCTAGGGTCCATATTCCTAATTCTGTACCTGTAACTGACCTGACAAGCCTATTTCTCTTCTTTACTTTTCCTGATTTCAGCCAGAATTGCCCAGTGGACACCTCTTCTATCAGGCTGAGCTGCATTTTGGAATCACTGAAGAACTAAACAATCTTAATGCCCACACTCTATGTGCTGGCATTCCTATGCATTTGGTTTGGTGTGTGACTTTGACACTGGAGTTGTTGAGGACTTCCTGACTAATGCTGAAGGGCAGTGAAACTGGGAAACACTGCCTTACAGCCTGGAGATCTAGATTCTAATAGAAGGGCCAGCACACCAAAAGACCAGCCTCTGGGCTCCATTCCTCTATTTAGGGGACAAAATGATCTCACTTAATATCTGACAAATAGAATAATCAGGCTCCTTCATCAGTATTAATAATTTACTCATGACAGTGTCAGTAGCTTAGCTGTATACTTCCTCATCTGCACTTCCAAAATAAAAAATTACTTGTGGATTTAGTGCCAAAATTCATTTGGCAGAAAAATCTGGCCTGATTTGATGGGGCATGATTTTTAGTATCTATTACCCATAAAAATCTGCAAGTTTGTCTGTAGAATTGTTAATCTGCTTGACTATCAGGTATTATAGAATAGAATATATATATATATATCATATTATTTTGGGGGAAACATAAATTCTATAGCCTGACCCCAATTTTTCCAAAAAGCATTGTGGACTTATTTGGTAAAAAAGCATTGCAAACAGATATTGTGTCTTATTGGCAAGAGTGTTCTTTAAAAGCCTGTCCTTTTCCTCAGGAATATCAATAGAATGGTGGAATTCAGGGTAAGATTACATAAATAATTGAATCAAACTTTAAATTTGTAAATAAGAATGTGGGAGAAAGGAGGTTAATTGTTTGTTAAGCCCATTGATCTTTGATGCTTTAGTCCCAAAATACTACTTTGCACATGACTTATGTTTGTGTCTAGGCACAAAACTGAATTGGCTAATGCATAGGATTCACTTATAGGCTACGTGAGCTTCAGGAGGCTTTAGTTTCTTAGGAGCCTTTTTTCATTTAAATTATTTTTTAGGTGCTACTGGCATTGAAGACCGTCTGCAGGAGGGAGTCCCAGAGTCCATAGAAGCCCTTCAGAAAGCTGGCATCAAGATCTGGATGCTGACAGGGGACAAACAGGAAACAGCTGTCAACATAGCTTATGCATGCAAACTCCTGGAGCCAAATGCCAAGCTCTTTATCCTGGATACCCAGAGTAAAGTATGCATAATGAGACTGAGCCAGTTCTTTTGTTTATACAAAGCCAGTGGAGCATTTGGAGGTTGATGTGTGCAAGGAGAAAGAAAAGCTGATAACCCTTAGCTTCTGATAGTGTGCTTCCTGGTGACCTTGCCCATGTTTGGGAGGATGCCAGTTTTTCTAAGTGCTTGATTCAGAAAGATCATAGTTGAATAAAGGCATTAAAAGGAAGGTTTTTTTTTTTTTCTTTTGAGGGCCCCCCAAGCCCCTGCATTCTCACTGTATTACCATGAATTTGACAAAGACAAAGTAATCATTTCTGTTGGAATCAGTAGCTAGATATTTTTATGATAAATTCTAAAACTAGGCTCTCAGCATCATCCTGCCCTCTAGGGGTAATTCATAGATAGTGCTCCTGAGAATAGCCAACAGTTATAAAAATAAAAGGAATTGCTATAGCAGAAAGAATTGAAAAGATTTTGGACTGTCCATTTTTTCCTCCCACTAATCTCTAGGCAGAACATTCCAATCAGTTAAATGGGCATTTTAGTTTTCTCAGAAGGTCCCTAGTAGAGTGATGCCCTCTGAGACATTTACACATTATTTGCTTGAAGAACCTTTCCCTCCTCCCTTCCATGAAAGAGTCAGCGGTAGCATGATTCTGTCAATATATCCTGCCTTCTGTGGTGTCTTAGGGAGCCACTCTGTGGGATCAGGTTCTGAGCTGATGTCGGTTTGTCAGTTGTTTTCATGGCCAAGGCTCCATCGGCTCTATGACGTGTTTTGAGAAAAGAGTTGTCCTTATTCAAGAGAGTGGGTTCTCCTTGACAGCAGGCCATGGAGCCCATAATCACAACCACCAGGCAGCACCCAGTACCAACAGAGGTTAGTCATTTAATCACTAAAAAAGGATGTGGCTTGAGTCATATGTTTAGCTTTCTACTGACCAAGTGTAGGCCCTTGGGTGTTACTTGCCCTGCCAGCACTTCTCCCCTGCCTGCCTTGGACAGTGATGCCATACAGTAGTTGTGGGCAAAATAAAGGAAGTATAAAATATAAATGCAGCATCCAGATTCTGATGTCAGCTTTCCGAAAGGCTTCTGTAGACGTGGGTCTCCTTTCTCCTGTGGGTCTTCAACGTCAGTAGCAACTACACAATGTAAAACATGGGGCTGGAGAGATGACTCATCAGCTAAGAGCACTTCCTGCTCTTGCAGAGGACCCAGGTTTAGGTCCCATCTCACACATGGCAGCTCACAGCCACGTGTAGCTCCAGTCCAGGGGACCCAACACCCTCTTCTGGCCTCCAAGGACAACAGGCACACATGGGGCACACATGCAAGAAAAACAATCATACACATAAAAATAGGTTTTTAAAAAACATGTACTATCTAATGTATCTATCGATAAGAGAGATTCAGTGAGCATGAAAAAAAGAAGAAAGAAAAATAAGACAGAAAAAAAGTAATTAAGAACAGCAAGATAGACCAGCATGTAAAGGTGCTTGCTACCGAGCCTGAGGACCTGAGTTTGATCCCTGGAACTAACATGGTAGAAAGAGAGAATGGATTCTGACTCTCTCAAGTTGTCCTTTGACCTACACACACACACACACACACACACACACACACACACACACACACACACACACCATGGCATGCATGTGCCCATACACAGAGAAATACATACATACATGCATGAATAATTAAACAAGAACAGTAATTAGTTACTGGTGCTTGACTTAGAGGGTTTCGTTAGGCAAAAGTTTTGTCTTAAGATTATAATACATGGTCATCATTAAACATTGAAACAAGGAACCATTTAGAAAAGATAAAATAATTTTCTCTGTCCCTCAGAGAAAACCTCTGGACACTTTGAGCACCTTCCAGATAGCCCTGACTCTGCACACATGAGAAAATAGGTGGAATGTTGAATGCCTCGTGGGCCTGGGACTTCCTGTATTTTTCAGAAGTGCTTCCTGTGTAGAAGACATGGTGACCATGGGAAGTGGGGTATAGTATCTCCTAGATCAGGCATGTCAGTCACTCTTTGTAACCAAGGGTAACTTTGATCCCCAGGGGATCCTTGGCAATACCTGGAGACATTCTGGTTGACACAACTAGAGGAAGGATGAGTGCTATTAGTTTCTAGTTCTCAGAGGCGAAGGAGGCCTCTGTATCCTATACTGCACAGGACAGCCCCTCACACAACCAAGGATTATCTAGCCCATATATCAGTGCTGCCAAGAGTGAAAACCTTGCTTTAGGTTGTTTTATTTCTAGGAAATAATAAGTATTGTAACTATCAGGGGGTCAGTTAGCTAGGGTTCACTGGCATGTTGTTAAGCTTTTAGTGTTCTGTGCTGGTTTTCGTTTTTTATTAACTAAATTTATTTGCGCATGCGCGTGCGTGTGTATGTGTGTGCATGCGCATGTGTGTGTAAGCACCTGTTCATGTGTGTGTACTGATACACGTATGTGCATATGCATGTAAGTATGTGGAGGTCAGAGGTCAACTTCAGGTGTTCCTCCTTGGGGGCCATCTTTTTTTTTTGAGACAACTTGGCTTGGGGCTTGCTAATTAGACTAGACTGGTCAGTGAGCTCCAGGGATCTTCCATTCTCCACCTGTCCCTGCCTCCCCAGTGCTGGGATTACAGACAGTGGCAGCAGCAGCAGCACTACCACCACCACCACCACCACTACTACAATCTAACCTTTTCACCTGGGTTCTGGGATGGAGCTCAGATCCTTATGCTTGCACAGTAAACACTACTGACTGAGCTATTTCTCTAGCCTTATGAACTTTTTTTTTTTTTTTTTTTTTTTTTTTTTTTTTTTTTGGTATTTTTGAGACAGGGTCTCCCTGTAGCCCCAGCTGTCCTGGATTCACCATGGAGACCAGGCTGGCCTCGAACTCACAGAGATCCACCTGCCTCTGCCTCCCGAGTGCTGGGATTAAAGGCATGCGCCACCACACCCGGCAATGAACTTATTTTTAACTGATACTTTAAAAAAAACATATTAAGGGATGTTATGTGATATTTCAATACATGGTCAAATTGTGTAATGTCTAAATCAGGTTACATAAATAGTAATGAGTAGCTGAACTCACAAAACTGAAGACTGTGTGGGTGTGTCTACTGCTAACAAACCAAACACACACATAGATTGAACATCTGTGTGTAATCATGAAGCTATGGGTAAATTCACAACGATATCATAAAATATATCTGCCTAGACAGCAAACTCTGTGCCACATAAAAATGAATGTATTGTAATACCTACATTCTTTTTCATTCTAAATACTATAAACACCATCTCATGTAGAAGGAAACACTGGTTTTAAGTAGAAAGGTATGCTCATCTCTAAATTGTGCCATTTTAATTTCATCAAATGAAGAAAATTTTTAATGTTTACTACAGTGTTTTGAACATACAGTGATCATCTTTGACTTTTCCTCCATGGCTTTAGAGGTATATGGAATCAAATTTGTTCTAAGGTACATGTAGTCAGGTAGCTCCACTTTATAGTTGAATCTTGTGTTGACTATTCTGTGGCACTAGAAAAGACATGTGAGGCAGGGTACTTTATTTTAAAAAGAGGTTTATTTAGCTCACAATTCAAACAAGCCTGGTGCCAGCCTCAGCTTCTGGTGAGAGTTTCGGGGTATAGAGTAGAAAGTCGGGGTGTAGAGAGTCTCGGGGTGTATAGTAGACAGTCTTAGGGTGTAGAGAGTCTCGGGGTGTAGAGTAGAACATCACATGGGGATATATGCATACATAATGAGTGGAGGAAAAGCTTATTTGGCAGGAAAAGAAGCAAAAGGGTAAGAAGTGGCCAAGCTAACCCCTTTATGACCATCTGTTCCCAGAGGAGCTAATCTATTCCTATGAGACAACCTACTCTAATCCCTTCCAACAACAGTCATGACCTGATGACCATCCACAGCACCTTACCTCGTAAAGATCCAACCACGGATCAATAACATTGGACTCAGAATGAGTTTTGAGGAGAGCAAACTACATGCAAATTTTAGCAGATCTTTTGATTATAATTAATATAATCATTACGTCTTTGCAGTATCACATCTACATATCCGTATCTACCTCCTTAGTGCTTGTGTATTGGTGTATAAGGTAAGAAGTGCTTGGTAAAGCAGCATTTTAGAGGAAAGTTAAAAGTCACTGCATGGTAGGCTTTTGTTTTGGCAAACTATTCCAGGCTGAGTGTATAGGTTTAAATTTCCCACTTCTGGATTTGAGCTCTGTCCTTAGTGCTTATTTGACACAATAATCTCTAGTAAATTTATTGTTAATTTTCTGAGCAGAATTCACTCAGTGTGTATTTATTCAGTATAGATGTGCCCTCTTTTATGAACTATGAAATATTCAAAAGTGAATTAAGGGTGGGGATGTGGCTCAGAGGCAGAGCACATGCTTAACATGTGTAAGATCCTGAGTTCAAGGCCCAGAACATAGAAGAGATCAGTAAATTAAAAATGATAACTGCTCCTAAAGAACTCCCTAACTCATGTAGATTGCGAATATATACAAACCAGATGTGATAAGTGTCTAAGAATATTCTGATCACAGTGTAAACTCTGTGAGGACCAAATGCTTGTGTTCACTACCATGTCCTCAAAGCCCAGAATATGTTCTCTTACATAGTTTCTCACCAAATACTTATGAATGAATTAATGTGTTGAATAAAAGTTATTCACTTTTAGAAATGTCTGCTATATATCGTGCCTTGAAATAGGAGTTCTGTGCTCATTTTCTCACTTAGTCCTCGCAACAGCACTAAGATAGAGATGTGCCCTTTGCAAATGGGGAAGTTGAGGCTCAGAGGGGTCACATGTTTGCTTAACATGTGGAATGTCTGCTTAAGTGCCTCGCCTTCCTTCTAACATGCCTCCACATACACAGAACTCTTTGAAAGCGCTGTTAAGTCTTGGAAGTAACTGTTCTCTACTTGAAGTGGCCTTTATCCAGCAATTGCTAAAGAAAGAGGATGAAAAATTTAGCCAACTCTCCAACTGAGCCCCAAAGTTAACTATGTTTGCTTTGTTCAAGGATGCCTGTGAGATGCTGATGAGTACAATTTTGAAAGAACTTCAAAGGAAAATTCCAGTCTCTCCAGACCAAGCATCATTAAGAAAAGATCTCCCTCAGCCTTCTGTCCTCCAGCACTCAGGGCGTGCTGGACTCATTATCACTGGGAAAACCCTGGAGTTTGCCCTGCAGGAGAGTCTGCAAAAGCAGTTCCTGGAGCTGACTGGTTGGTGCCAAGCTGTGGTCTGCTGCCGAGCTACACCCCTGCAGAAAAGTGAGGTGGTGAAATTGATTCGCAATCATCTCCACGTGATGACCCTGGCCATCGGTGAGTGTGGGGTGGAGACGGAGCCCTGCACTCTTTCTTTCATGCACACCAGGGCCTGATCCTTCTGTCTGTTTTTCCTTTTGTCTGACCTTAGAATTCTGCGTTCCCTTTTCCTTCATTTCTCGTCTCCACCCCCGTCTCTGCACCACTTTACTCCTTCCTTGCCTCTCCTTGCTATGAACCTGGTGTTAGGGATGTAACATAGAAAACAACATAGTAGCATTCTTTGGGTTATGTATTAGACCCCAAATCAGCCAAGTTAACTATACAAAAAATATTGAATTGTGGGACTAAAAATTTAATTTTGGGGAAAAAAAAAAAAAAAAAAAAAAAAAATCAAGGAACTCTGCCTTCAGGAAAGTTAAACTTAAGAATGTGAAAATTTATCCATTCTGTATTTATTGAGTGACATTTTCATACCAGGCTTTTTTCCCTAGACAATAGCTACAAAACAGTATATAAAACACAATATATAAAATGGATATTTTCTCTTAAAGAGCTTACATTTAGTAGGAAGGTACATAGTACCTCAAATAAATGAACAACCAAAAAGTAAATATGGAGAATACCAGTTAAGAAAAAACTGAAGGACTGATTGTGAGTAAAGACTTGAAAGAAATCAAGGGTGAGTAGTAAGCATTCATACCAGACAGCACAGCAAAAGGCAAGGCCAGGAGAGGGGCTGTGTGTGGCACGTGCAAGGCCAAAGCAGACTGAGCCAGGACAGAGTTTTCTGCAGGACAGTGAATGTCAGAGAGGTGGCAAAAGGCCACATCACATAGGGTCTTGAAGGCCATTATAAAGTTGATAAAATTTTGCCTTTGATCTCAAAATATAGAGAGCTGTGGAAAATTTTGATCCAAGTTGGGACATGATCCTCTTTATAGTTAAAAGGATCATGTTGTCTGCTGTATGAAAATAAATGTTGTGCTATAAAGACATTAGTAAGAGAACCAATTGAGAGGGTGTTGAAGTAATTCAGACAAGAGATGATGATGGCTGGGCCCCATATTGAAGCAGAGAAGGAGGTGGGACATGGTCAGATAACGTGCTTTGAAGAAAGAACGGCTAGCATTTGCTGATGAATTGGGTATGTTATCTACAAGAAAAAGAGCTGTCAAAGGCAACACCGAAGTCTTGCTTAAGAATGAAAGAATGGAGCTGCTGTAGGCTGACATGGAGGCAGGGGTTGAGAAGCTGGGTCTTACACTTGAATCGTCTGCCAGGTGTCTAAGCAGTGATGTGACATCACTGTGGTACACAGCTAGAATGAAAATACGGAATCTGGCAATGAAGAATTGATTAGAGATAGAAATTTGTGACTCACAGGTCCAGTGAGGTTTGATATTTATAAGACCATCAAGGAAGGAGTATGGGAGGAGAAGTAGAATGAGATGGAGTTCTGAGATGCAGGGGTATTTAGGTGAGGTAACATGGGATTTCATTCTGCCGTCTCATTGAATGTACATACGATAAATGAATGATTCAGATCCCTAGATTAAGATATTGGCAAAGCGAGAATCCTTGGACTCTTCATTAATTAAATCAAGTGCACATTTTCAACCAATCACTGAGGATAGGAAATACAAGATGTTGACTTCTAGGCCTAGGTCAGTGTCCCACCAGTTGATGTGGATGTTTGGATTCTTTCTAACAAACCACATGGGCTCAGAATCCCCAAAGAATACCAAAATTCCCATCACCAGAAGATGAATGAATAATCAGCAGGTCTTTGGGAACAACAGATGTTCATTCCCAGAAGGAATGTAGTATCTTGAAGAGGCTTCTAGTCTTGGAGTATATCAATAACTGTAGCCCACCATAAATCCATGTGGTAGATAGGATGGAGATACACAAGGTGCACTGGAACCTAGGGAAAGACAGCTGACTTATAGGGAATATGAGACGGGCTTCCTGGAGAAAAAGACATGTAAATAGCACATGGGTAGTCGAAATTCAGCCAGGTGGGTGTGACAAGGACAGTGTTATAGAAACAAGACATGACCTGCACAGTGGCTAAAAGGAGTGAGGTGTATCTGGAAAATTGAAGGTTAATGACAGCGTGGAAAACAGGGAAGATCAACCTAAGCAGATACCATAGCATTAAGGATTGTTTTAAATTTATTTATTACTTTTATTTTATGTGTATGAATTATTGCCTGCGTGTACGTAAGAGCACCTGTGTTGTCAGAACACCTGCGGAGGGGTCAGAAGAGGCCGCCAGATCCCCTGGAACTGGAGTTACAGACGGTTGTTAGCCACCATGTGGTGCTGGGAATTGAACCTGGGTCCCCTGCAGGAGCAGTCAGGGCTCTTAACCATTGAGCCATCTCTCAGTTTGGAATTTTTCCTGTTGGCGTTGGGATGCCACACTTAATTCTGTTTAACTAGTGTTATAACTCTGAGAAATGAGATAAACCTTAAAGGGTCTATTTGTTCACTTGATTTGTAAGTTTACATAATTATTCCTCATGTGTTTCTCACTTTTTCTTCTGCCTCATGAAGGTGATGGTGCCAATGATGTTAGCATGATACAAGTGGCTGACATTGGGATTGGGGTCTCAGGTCAAGAAGGCATGCAGGTGAGTAGATACACAGTGAGTACCATCACCATAACCTGCCTACCAAGGGCAGCCTCCATGTTGAAATCACTGTGGTCCAGTGAGGCGATGTGTTTAGGAATGAGAGAGACAGGACCTTCATAATTCATTGGTTATTTACTGGTGAATATTATGGTGTGTTCCTGGGTAATTTTAGCTGTGTGATTCATTTGTTACCTTTTTAAGAGGTGCTTATCTAGAGCATAAGAATTCATTTTTGTAGGAATGTGATGACTTTGTAAATTCTCACTGAAGATGTCTACTAAGATTTGAGTAAAGGACACGAAGGACGTGGAAAGCTGGGGTGGAAGGGATAGGGAAGAAGAAAGTACGAGAGAATGAGAATGAGGAAGGTTTGACAGTGAGAGAGAAGGAGGGAGGGAAGAAGGGAGAGAGAGGGACTGGGAGAGAGGAGAGGAGGGGAGAGAGAGAGAGAGAGAGAGAGAGAGAGAGAGAGAGAGAGAGATTTTAGGCATAAAATTCAGATCAAAGCTGCTTTTCATGTATAGAGCAAACACTGGAAGAAAAATAGAAAAATGTGGGATATGAGGCTTGGGTTCCCCAGTACTGTATATAACATCATCCTAACAAATGCTTAGATCCATCAAATACTTTGCCTGACACATTTTGCAAAGTCATATGAACTTGTGACTACAACACTTTCTAATGTTCTCCTCATTGGGGAGAAATAGAAACATAATTGTAAAGCAGGACAGAGCTCTTGCTAAGGGACCTGCTTTCTAGGAAGAGTCTGTTTGCTCAAATTGCATTCTGAGTAGACACTGAATTGGAAAACAGGGTAGTGCCTTGAGACAATTCATCAAACACTGTAGTCTGAGGACTTTTGCTGCTGTACTGGGTTTTTTTGGGTCTCTCTCAATTTGCTTGAAAAGTAAGTGACTAATTTGACTAATTTGAGCGTAGTGATGGTCAGGCTATGCCTGCTAGACTATCTGTGTTCTAGCAATGTTCTAGCAAGTTCTGTTGCTCAGGTAGCCTTCTCTCCATGTTGCTTTTGCAGGCCGTGATGGCCAGTGACTTTGCCATTTCTCAGTTCAGACACCTCAGCAAGCTCCTTCTCGTGCATGGGCATTGGTGTTACACGCGACTCTCCAACATGATTCTCTATTTCTTCTACAAGAATGTGGTATGTAACTGCCAAGAATTCATCTCCTCCTCCTCCAGTCCCCCATCTTCTTTCCTTGGTTACCTCCGAGATGAAGAAGAAGCACCCTAGGCTAACTTACCACGTTCATTATTATCTAGAAAGTGGCCAGGATCTGTCCGGCTGCCATTCTGGAGATAATTTGGCAATGTACACGTTTGAACTGTTGACAACAAATTGCTAGGCCTGTCCATCTGCTAGCATGTTCTGTTTTACTCCCTCTGCACTTAAATTTAATTAAGTCCTGCCTGGTTCATTTAAAATCCAATTTTTGACCTTTTATAAAGATTACAACAAGCAGAATTATGAAATGTTTAAAATTTTCAGTAGAAAACCAAAGTATTTGCTCCCATGTTGCTATAGATAGTCTGCTGTCCCTAAATATGAGTCCTGTGGCACACTGAGAAGAGATGGAGATGAAAAGCCAGTGTAATATCAACTTATAGCTGGCTAGCACTCACAGCTGCAAAATTTTCTATGCAGCCCATAGAGGTTTATTTTTGTTTGTGATAATGGAACTCTAATTATGTCATGCCTAAAGGGGCAGCCTTTGCTTATAAGTCCTGACTTCTAATGTTCAGTATCTCATTTAAATTTCACCTACCTACTCTCTTTCCTTCCTTTGTTTCCTTTATCCTTTATTTTATTTTAATTTTGAGACAGTGTCTTGTATCCCTGACTCACCTAGTATTGACTTTGTAGCCCAGGCTGGCTTAAACTTGCAGCAATTCTCCTGTCTCTGCCTCCTTAATGCTAGGGTTATAGGCATATATCAATATACTTGGCTTCAATTTTATTCCTTATAAACTCATGTTGACCTTTGGTTGACTCGTTTAAATCTCTTGTAGGTAGACTGATTATGTAACTACATCATGGTTTTTAGGCCAAATTTATTGTTTTGTTTTGTTTTTTTAAGTCATACATAGCATGTTAATAGTAAACATCTATTGGGTCACTCTATTAAAATACCATTTTAAGAAAAATGCAATGGATTGTCTTTAGGGTGTCCCAGTATGTAACTTAGATCTGTTTGTGGGTGGATAAGCCCTCCTCCCACCATAATACAATGAATGTTTTAGGAATCTGTCAATACTTCACTAAATCAAATGAGTACATTTAGTCAAAGTTTAAGAAAACTCAAATATTTTACAAAAATATTTGAACTATAAAACATCTCTACCTGATTGTATAATTCTGAGGAAAACTGGGTCCTCATTTAAAATTCCAGGCTATTGTGGTCAGTGGCTTTTAAAAAGAAGTGTCTCTCCCAAGCATTTTTAGTATATGTGCTGCAGAAGCAAGAACTCTCCCAAGTGCCTCCCATCCCAACTAACTTTGCACTTTCTACCCTTTTCCTTGTTGTACTGCAAGCTACCCTCCCACCCAGTTTTGATCCCATATTGAACCCCAGGTTTGAGAAACACAAGTATTAGGAAAAAGAAGCTGTAGCTCATGGAGACAGAACACATTTTAGTTGACAGGCAGGACATCCCAGAAATAATACTCCTATGTTTCTGCTCTCTAATCACAGATAACCATTTGCTTTTATTTACCTTGCTGAACAACAATTGTGTTACTATCACAGGAATGGACCAGGACTAGAAAAGTCTTTAAAGCAGCTGATTTTTTTCTGGTGGTTCTTTGATGTTCAAAAACTTTTGAACTGTTAATGAGCACTATGGATTCATACCCTAGGATTATGCCCCAAACTATGTGTATTCAAGATGGATAAACTTGAAGAAATTGACCTTAATGCCTGTCCATAGACACTAGCCTACAAAAGTTTATTCCAAGTTGTATGGTCCTTGTCTTAAGGTGTTGTAATGCACCTGTGATGCCAGTGATAATAGTGTCATTAGTTGATCTGAAGATGTAGCTCCACTGATAGAGTGCTTGCCCAGCATGTACCGGCACCGAGTTCAATCCTCAGCCCTGCATAAACTGCCTGTATGATAGTGCCTGCCTGTAATCTCAGCACTCTAGAGTAGAGGCAGGAGGATAAGAAGTTCAAGTTTGGATTGGGGAAGTGGTTCAGTGGGTGAGAGCTCAGAGATATGTGTTCTGAATTCAAATCCCCAGAACACATGTTAAAGAGCTAGACTTAGTCCTCTGCTCCTATAACTCTAGCACTGGAAGGGGAGGATGTGTGATGGTGGAGACAGAAGGATCACTGGGGCTTGCTGGTTGCTAGTCTGGCTCCAGGTCCAGTGAAAGAGTCTGTCTCAAAGAAATGGGGTAGAGAGTGATTGAGCAGGACACCTGAGGGCCTTCTCTGATCTCCACATACACACAGATGTGTGCATACGCACATATGAGCATATACTTTGCATGCATACAACACAGTTTCACACACATATACACATAAACACATAAAAAAAAAAGAAATTCAAGGTCATCCTTGAGGACAGCCTGGTCTAGAGACCTGTCTTTAAACTAAATTAATAAAATAAAAGCTAAAGTAATTTTTAAAAACCCACTATCTTAATATTTGTTAGACTCTTCACAGGTAGTGAACACTTTCTTACCTGATCTTAGGATTTAGTCTTAAGGTAGTACAATTTTCATTTTATACAGGATGAAGCCATAATTTACAGAGGTTAAGAAAATGGCATAAAGTCCAACAACCAGTATCCCTAAAACAAGAAACACCTTCCTCCATGACCTCAGTCTAGTGATCATTCCTTTGGCCTGCCTTACTTTGTTGTAGTGAGCCAAGTTCAAAACACAGTGCTGGAGGAGCCCAATAGGATGCATGTGCCTGACTTCTAAGGCATCCACCTGCCCATGCTTTCCAGGGACTCTCCAGTTTTAGCATGAGAATCCTATGCCTTGGGAACCTCTCAGTCTCAAGAAACCTGGATGGTTGATCCCTCTGCACGATCCCACTTCTTCACTGAGAAATCACTGGACTCGGAAGGCAAGGGAATGAACATTTGTGGTGTGTCATCTCGGACCCAGGAATTGGGCTTTGTTCTCTTTGTCTAGAGAAAATACCTTCAACTCTGCCACTTACAACCTGAAGAGCTTTGTGCAACTTCCTTATTTTCTTTGTGTCTCAGTGTCTACATTTATTCAGTCTGCTTTAAAGAAGCAGCACAGATCGTGACTTATAAACAATGGAAATGTCTCACATTTCCAGACATCTGATCACGGTGTCAGTGTAGTTGGGTCTTGTGATGGCTCTTTCTGGTTGCATCCTCTCAGGGTAAAGGAGAACTGCCAGGGGCCCATTTTATAAGGCACTCATCCCATTCACAAGGGCTCTACCATCATGACCTAACACCTTTACCATGACCCTCCCTCCTAATACCATCACACTGGAGACTAAGATTTGAATATATTTGAGGATTACATAAATATTTAATTCATTTAGCTCATTATCTGTAAAGTGGAAGCAGCAGTGATTCCTGACTTGTTATAAAGATTAAAGGAATTATTTGTAAAGTACTGAGAACAGTTCCAGTACCACATAGTAAGTGGAGAGAGAGAGAGAGAGAGAGAGAGACTTAATAAGGTCTTCATAGGAAACAAAACAAAATTAAAGAACTGCAGGACAAGTTGTGGTTTTCCATCTTGTAACTAACAGAACTACAGAGAGGCTGTAGGCCCAGAACTCAGAACTGCAGTATGTAGAATATGTGTTCATAGTGGGCACTGCTATCTCCAAGATCTGAACATGTCTCTTTGTGTCCCCAGGCCTATGTGAACCTTCTTTTCTGGTACCAGTTCTTTTGTGGGTTCTCAGGAACTTCTATGACTGACTATTGGGTTTTGATCTTCTTCAACCTCCTCTTCACATCTGCTCCCCCCGTCATTTATGGTGTTTTGGAGAAAGATGTATCAGCAGAGACCCTCCTGCAGCTGCCCGAACTTTACCAGAGTGGTCAGCAATCAGAGGTAGGTGTTCAAACAGAAGTCTGTCTGCAAATGCACATCATGGTGAAAGCCAGGCCCAGATAGTGTAGGTATATTAGGATACTCAAATCTATGTAAAATGCCTCATTGTTTCCAATGATCTGTTCTCACAAGGCAGATATTAAGTTACTGGCATAGTATCAACAACCTAAATCTGCAAAAGTTTTTAGGGGAGTATAAGAAGAAGCCCAGATATTTAGGCCTTGCTAATAAGATCTGACATTTATTAAACCCCATTGAGTGACCAGTTAGGCTACCCAGACAGTGTTCCTTGCTTCATTTATCTTCACACAGATACTTTTTGAGACAGAATCTAGTATTTTTCCCATTCTAAAATGAGGACTCTGAGTCTCAAGGACATTAAGAAATTTTCCCCAAACTCTCAGAGCTAATCAATGATAGACCCAAGATATGAAGCCACCAGAGTCTGGTTTCAAAGCCAAAGTTAAATTCTCCAGGTTCTGATGTCATGCAAAACAGAAGTACCCTCTTGAAAGCAGGACCTCATCCCCACTCCGTTCGTTATCTCTGGGTCCTATCCACCAGCTTCTCTCCCTGAGTCTTTGTGTCCCTCATATTCTCTTACCTAGAGAACTGTAGGTTGTAGGCAGGTAGTAGCCTATTGTGTGAGAGTAGCTGTCTAGATACTCCTTTGTTTCTAACTCATCCTCCACAAAATAAATGATGACCAGCCTGACTGTACCAGGGACATTTATGTAGGAGAAGATACTGCTTGAAGTGCTTAACATATATAATATATGTCCTAAATATCTCACAAGGCTGCTGTTCCCTGTACTATGTCAGTGATGCAATTCAGGCACAAGGAGTTGCCTTCAGTAATCTGCTTTTGGCATGGCCTGGTGAGTGTTAGAATTGAATCTTGGCACCCCGGCCCACGCTGTCTGCATTGTGCTATGCAGCCAAAAGAGCTCTGATGGCCCCTTCAGTCCTTAGGTTTCCCATCATGGCAATTGAAGGCCAGAGATGTAAAGTCTATTATAAGAGCATCCTAAAGATCCAGAGCTGAGGTGAGATAGGAGCCGTAGACAACTAGGACTGAGCAGAGCTGAGCAGGTCCAAGTCGTCGTGTGTTCGGTGCTAAGAACGCTGATTCTTAAAGTGTTAACATTTTAAATGACAAGGGGAAAAAAAAAGGACGGGAAATAAAGACAAGAAAAAAGATAAAAATAAGTAGCTCATGTTAAGTTAATAAAAAAGAAATACACTGGCATACACAGCTCAAAGTCCAGGAGTAATGTGACAGAGCACTGTTTTTTTTTCACGCGATTGTAAATGCCTACTTGGCCTCACTACAGCTTGTCGTATCCCTGCCCTTAGATTTTCTACCATGGGCAGAAGGTCATCCTTTCATTGCCCAGGTCTGGGTTAGGTCTCATTCCTAGGGGCGGAGCTAAAGCATGTGGGCAGGATTGTGAGCGTTCTCTAAGGAAACCACAGACCAGAATGAGATGCGCCTTGAGAAACCTATGCTGTTGGTCCTCACTTGCTGCCGCGAAGAGACTGACACACATCAGCATGGGCTGGGAGTTGTGGGTTGCGTTCAGCAAGAATTGAATTTCTGATTCTCTGTGTGTAAGCTTAAGCTCTTTATCTTGCCTGTGCTTCAGTTTCTTTATTGTTGGAAAATATAAGATGATGGGGGACATATGGGAAGGTTGGGGTGAGGATTGGAAGAGGAGCCAAAAAGGCCATTGGATGCTGTCCAGTGATTCATAGGCAGAGCTGGTATAAACTGAAAAGAAGGGAACCGTGTGAGCAAAGAAAAATGGATGGATTGGGAAAAGGTTTTGAATAATGTTTCTGATCAATAGAAATGAGAAGTCAGGAGGAACAGCTAGTCCTGCTTCAGGTATTTCAGACCAATCCAAAAGGGGCTGGGAATGTAGTTCAGTGGCAGAGTGCATGCTTAATGTGTGAGTCCCAAGCACAGAACTTATACACACACACACACACACACACACACACACACACACACACACACGCACACTGATCCTATGATAAAGTTAGAGTTTTAAATGGATTGAATGAGTTGGATAATAGTTCCTTTATGATCTGTTACTTTTTTCACCCCATTCAACTGTGAACACGTCTTGTTTAACTGGCTTCTTCTGCGAACGCTTTGTGAACTAGAGAATAAAGGAATAGAAGTTGACTTTTTATCTCAGAGAAGAAAACAGAAGCACTGGCTTGTGCTGGTTCTGGAGTTTGCTCTGGCTCGTGGTAATCTTACTTCTCTGATATGCTTCATTTCAGGCATACCTGCCCTTGACCTTCTGGTTCACCCTGCTGGACGCCTTTTACCAAAGCCTGGTCTGCTTCTTTGTGCCTTACTTTGTAAGTCTTTGTTTGCTCGATGCACTTGCCATTAATGAATCAACACTGCTTCTTTGAGCTTTGTTTCCAGCATCTTTTTGACTATTAGTTGACTAATCTATAATCCCTTACAATATGTTAAGTAATTAATTAAAGAACCTCACTAAGTTCTCTTAGGTCTCTTGTTAACACACACTGAACTGATTACTAATTTTTGTCAATGACCTAAATACAATTGACCATATAGATAAATTATCCAAAAATCATAGAGCAAAGTCAGAATATGAGTTTCTATTAGTGAGTGGTTGTCTCATTCTGCCAGGCTGACACCCAGAGTACTAAATTTAAGAATCTATAAACAATTTCTCCAAAGCTATTTTTGAAAAGCATGTTCAACATATAAAGTATGGAAGAAAAAAGACTAAACATAGAGTATAAAATTACTTTTGAAAGCTTAGACTGGTGCCAGTACAAAGCAGGAGGATGCAGCAACCCGTCGGTAGACACCTTTTCCTAGATGGAAGCACTATGTGATCACGGAGTATGTGGGCAGATGTACAGTACTGGAGGGAAATGGTATTAACTAGGTTAATAATTTCTGTCTTTGTTTAAATTAAATTACTTGATTTAGGGTCACTAGACTATTCTGGCTATATTGCTCTTCAAGAGGAATTTATACAGGGCAACTAAGGTGCATTGAGAAGATGATTCTGAGACAACATAAAATTGTATCATTTGAGGAATGGTTTAAGGATTTCAAGCCATGTACACCAGAGCAAGGGGATACTTACAGGATGTATAAGCTTAGGGAAGTTATAATAACTGCTTCAGTGATTTATTAGGTAGAATATATTAGATGTGTTTGTGTGGCTTCAGGAGGTAGAACTAGGAGCAAAAGCTTCCTGAAAGATCAGTCATGATTCAGACTAATTCTAACTAAAAATTCAAAACTTAGATGGCCTATCTGGGAAAGAGTCAGTCTCTTTTATTCATCCTAAGTGACAGTCACTTGATAGGAACATTGCGGAGGGTACGCAAGCCACATACAAGCTGTAGATAAGTGGTGTCACAGCAGGTATGCCCAGTTCCCCACACCCACTACCTATTCTCTCCTTGTAGACCTACCAGGGCTCTGACATTGACATCTTTACATTTGGAAATCCTCTGAACACAGCGGCTCTGTTCATCATTCTCCTCCATCTGGTCATTGAAAGTAAGAGTTTGGTGAGTGCTCTCCCTTTCTACTTGGGGCGTGTCTTTTGTTAGCTGTGACCCACCAAGCCCTTTGGGACTATAAGGTCAGTGCTGTGAATAAGAGTAAGGACTGCGGAAGACAGCATGCTCAAGGCAACACTCAGGATCAGCCGTGCCATGATGCTGAGGCCAGGGAAGGTGGAAAGCACCTGCCTGTGTCCTTGCACTTATCACTTCATAGAAGTGTGAATCAACAGATGAGAAAATCACCTTCAGTACCCAACAGGCCTCAAAACCAAGCTGATGGCTTTCTACTAAAATCAAATGACATTCTATGCTATAATACCAGTGTGTTGACCTAAAGTAATATTTTGAATTAGGTAACATTCCCAAACATGAGGGAAGTCTGAAAATATCCCCACCAATAGGTAGGGTATGTAAGTGGCAAGATTCTGATATAGTAATGAGCTCAGTGTATGTGAGAAGCTGAAGGGGGGAAAAATGTGATTCTAGCACTTGAGTAAGTGGAAATGATGCTGGACACAGGCTAAGTATCTCACTGCATAAGGTCTTGAGACTCTCAGAGCTCATTCCAAGTCTGTTGGGAAGAAAACACTGAAGTATTTTCCCCAACTGATACAAAAGCATGTTTATGTAATCAAGAGGCATAAAGTCCTCACTTACTAAAATTAAAAAAAATATATGAGCAGTCTTTATTACTTTTGTGAAGGTATTTACTGTGGAAAAATGCTTTTGCAAGACTAGGAGAAAAAACAAAGAGAATACCGGGCCTGGTTTAAAAATTGCAGCCCTAGAAAAGAGATGTATAAGGACAGTGTTTCCCATCACAGTAAAGCCTAGGCCGCCACCGGTGTGCACACTGATTATATGTCTTGTGGAAACTGCACTAAGTAATGTAGAAGATTACATATCAGCTCTTTTAAGCCTCTGTCTTAAAAGGTGTGACTGTCCCTCCCATTCCCATTTCATTGATCAGAGCAAGTCACTTGGCCATGCTTCCTTGAAAGGGGGTACAGAGGTACAGGCCACTTGATGCTTACTAAGGGAAGAAAAAAAAACACAAGGTGAGCAATCAGTGTCTGCCACATGTGTTTGATGTTTGAAGATTACTGAATTAAAGTATTACTTTAATGAAGATCAATGAATGTATTTCAAAAAAGGAAAGGAAATCCAAATACCTCCTGGTACATGGCCAATAGAAAATAAACCAGTCAATAGAGTTACCCCTTAGATCTTTGATTTAGTTTTACAGAATTCAAACACTGGCATGAACCACTCATGAATGCTCTTCTTTTAACTCCTCAGTGTTTTGTGTCTTGTTGGCTAAGGTTTAGAATGCCAGCCACTCAGTGCTTGGATGTACTGTTCCTTTAATGGATCAGATGTCACTAGGTTGCAGTACCCCATCAGTGAATATTTTCTGGTCCTTCTTGTCTTACAGACTTGGATCCACATGCTGGTTATCATTGGTAGCATCTTGTCCTATTTTTTCTTTGCCTTGGCTTTTGGAGCCATGTGTGTAACATGCAACCCACCATCCAACCCCTACTGGATTATGCAAGAGCACATGCTGGATCCAATGTTCTACTTAGTTTGTGTCCTTACAACCTGCATCGCTCTTCTGCCCAGGTATGGCGTGTTTTCCCATCAAGAGAGTAAGTGCATGGAATCATAGGTATACTACTAAGCAACTACTAAGAAGGAATAGCAGATCACTCTGTTTAGTAGTGAGGAAGTCAGTCTATATACTGGTTAAAATATTGGTTTCAACTGTACCAGAGAACAGAACTAGACAAAGCAAATGAAGGTTCTAGTTCTCTGTCATGGAAAAGTCCAATCTGATTGACTAGTCACAGGAATAAAGCAGCTTTGTCTCACGGGATTATCCAAGTACCTAAATCCTATCTTTAGCTCTGCCACCTCCCGATTCCTTGTCTTGGTCTGTGTTTTATACCTATCACAGAATACCAAAACAGGAGTAACTTAACAGAAATGGACTATCTCAGAGCTCTGGGGGTCGGGAAGCTGTATATCAAAGCACCGGCAGCTTTGGTGATTCTCATGCCAAGATGACACCTTAATGCTGCGTCTGCACATGGCAAAGGTGGGCAGACCTATTCATGGGATCTGAGGGCCTGGGATTCAAGGCATGGCAGATTCTTCTGCATCACTGAAGATGGCTTCCATCAGCATAGCCACATCCCTTGCCCAGAGGAAGCAGCCGTTCTCTCTCTTCTTCTTTTGGCAATGACATGACCTGAAAGTCATACATGCCATTGCTCTAATTGACTGTGCCCTCAATACACAGAGTCTGAGCAGCTAGACTCTGGAGGGCTCTAAGAGAAAGAGAGGAACCCTGGTTGCTAATCAAGCAGTGATCTCTGCTGTAGACTCGAAATGCTGATTACCTCTCTCATCTGACTGACTTATTTTTCCATTTTCCATTTGTCCTGATTTCTAATATTGCATGGGATGGAAATGGTTAAAAATAATGAAGGTAGCAGGGCATAGTGGCTCACACCTGCAATCCCAGAACTCTGGAAGATGAAATAGGAGGATTGCCCTGAGTTTGAGGCCAGCTTGGGCTGCTGAGTGAGAGAAACCCTGTCTCAAAAACAAAACAAATGAAAAGAATACAAGGCCTTTTAATCCATTGATTCTTGAACTCACTACGGTTTCTCTTTGTAGTTTCATAAAATTGATCTGTTTAGTTTAAATATACTAAGTTGTTTGACCTTTCTAAACATGATAGAAAAGTTAAAACAGTGAGTTCATGTTACTCTAACAGGATTGACACACGGTGGCTCACAGACCAAATCTGTCTTTGAAACAGTGATAGAAAACTTACCTGAATTGCATTCTGCAACACTGTGGAAGTAGAATTTGAAAGTTATGACCTTGGATATTTGTTTGATGAGATTTCTATGTAACATATGAAAGATATATTACTTATTGTTACTATTTATAATAAAACAGGAGAGGAAAACAATTAATTAAGAGACCTCTTAAGCCAAAATAAACTAGTTTGAGGAAACTCTCAGCCCATGCTAAGTACAAATGTTGAAAAAATTAGGAGATGTGACTGTGAGGAGTATGATCTGGAGAGGTCAAGAGTACTGCAAGATGAGCTTTGTTGCTAATGACATAAATATCAGTGACATACATGAGAAATGAGCAAAGGTTTTGAGAATTCTAATTTAGTAGAAACATTTCCAGTTTATTCTGTAAGAAACAAGTTTGTAGTAACTTTTTACGGTACCCATGGGAAATTAATGTAAATAGCTAATACATTTGAATACTTATTTGCCAACACAATGCCTGATTTATGTGTATTATCTTACTTAACCTATGTTAAGCCTATGATGTGGCAATTACTGATATTTATACCTTTGTAGACTTTATGTTTATTTAGCACTTAGAGGTACTTGTTATTTGCTCAATGTTTTGCAAATATTATTTTATTTAATATTATTTAATTATTCTGTTTTGATTTTTTTGAAACAAGGTCCTACACAGTAGCCTAAGCTGGTCTGGAACTCACTGTCGTGCTTAAGCTGACCTTGAGTTCATGGCTGTCCCTGTGCCTTAACCTTTCAAGTGCTGGGATTATAGGCGTGTACCACACTAAGCTTAATATTGCTTTAATTTCCACTTACCCTCCTCCTTTAACCCAGGAGCCAAGTGACCACCGGACTCTTTTACTTTTTTCTAATCAGCTGCTATTTTCTATGGGTTCCCCGATGCAGTGGAAGTGAATGTAATTCTGTGATGCACTTGGTAACCTAGGTTTACATACCGAGTTCTTCAGGGATCCATGTTTCCATCTCCCATTCTGAGAGCTAAGCACTTTGACAGACTAACTCCAGAGGAGAGGACAGAAGCTCTTAAGAAGTGGAGAGAGGCTGCAAAGATGAATCAAGTGGCATCTAAGCTAGCCAACCAATCAGCTGGTGAATCAGGAAGAAGACCCCAGGCTGGCCCTTCTGCTGCCCTTGCAATGAAGCCAGCAACTGCTTGTGCTGTAGAACAAGAAAACTTATCTACATGTGAGACTGTGTTAGACCTAAGCCCCTCTGAACCTGAGGCCTCAGAGGTGACCTGACCCTCAGCATGCTAAGAATGCGGGATTTCCCTTGGTGGCAAGTAATCTTTCAAGTTCAGAAGGGTGTTGAAGAGGCTCCTCTACAAAGCAAGGATTGCTTATTTTTCTGCAAAGATATCAGCATTTTACTAGGCTTGGAAAAGCCAAAGCTCTAATGATATGTCTATATGTACATTTGTAAAGGAGAGCTAGGGTTTGACCTCAGTTGAGCAGAGTTTGGGGAAGTGAAATATTTAATTCAGCATCAGAAATTTTTATGAAACCTGTTAGATTTTGTAAAGGTCTTTTAATTGTCATATAATATGCAAATATTATCAAGGGAATTAATTTAAAATGTTTATTTTATAGGTAAGTCTTATTTGGAAAATGCTTTTAGTGAGCTTAAGTGAGATCAATCTGATTTTTTTTCTTTAAGGAAAAAAAGTTCTTTTAAAGTTCTTTTATTAGGAAAGATTATTAATTTGAAGATAAACTCCCAAGAAACTTTTATTTCCTATGAAAAGAGGCCTCCATTCTTCCGACTGAAGGTATTTAGCTTGCCTCTCTGCTCATTTCAATACTGTGCTAAAGTAGAGCCTGGGAAGGGAAGAAGGGAAGGGAAGGGGAGGGGAGGGGAGGGGAGGGGAGGGGACTAATGTTCTAGGGAAGTATTCCTCTCTCAGTTTTCCATCAAGAGAAGATCCATGAGGTCCCCATGTGCAGATGTCAATCTGGAAACAGAAGGCAGACACAATCAGCTGAACCTAAACAGCCTGTTTAGCGACTTCCTGTATTCTAAAACTGACAGGACCCACATCAAAATGAGACAATCAGTTTCAAAACAATCCTCTAGAGACCACTTGAGAGCTCATAGTTGTTATACACAGCAATTTATGTGTTGTAGTCTCTAAAGAATGGGATGTAGGTTGAGAATAACAAATTATTCTCAGCAGAGATCTGTGTGGTTCTCAGAGAGAAAAGTTTTAACATATTTGAGGATATATAT